ATTTCGAAGACCTGATCCTAAATAAATAAATAAAGTATTATTAAAAATAATAATAATGTCAAATATTTAAAATTTAACTAAATAGAAATAAATATTAAAGTTTGTACTATGATAAAGTGGATGGAGAAAATAACATAAAAGATATAATGGGTTTTGAAATTCTATATATCGTCGAGTAAATATTTGGATTGCAATAGGTTTATATCAGTTGGATTCAGAAATCTGATATATAGCGACTGCTAACTTTATCATATGTATAAAACAGTCAGCTAAAGTTGCTAAACCAGATTCTAGAATATTAATACAAGTTTTTATGGGGTTCCATATTGATCAAATTTGCCGACACGTAGAAAAAAATTCTTCACTATGTAATAAATTAAAAATTTCCATATTTGTAATTATATTTGGATGTTCAAGAAAAATCTATATAATGATAATATTAATATTTATATTAGTAGATTAATTTAATTGTCAATATATTAAAATAATAAAAAAGACTACCCAATCGAATATAGGCCGTGCAAGTAATATCGAATTTGTAGTATTGTATAAAGATCCCCAACGTGTTTTACACCATGCTTCTAAGCCTTCAGACCTTACTTTCATAATTTTTAACCCTTGTCGTAATAAAGCTAGTCTTTGATGAGATTTGTTAAAATATGCTATAACTTTTCCACATTGATCAATAAATAACTTTATTTCATGAAGTTTTATCAAATCTGTTGCTATTAAATTAATAGCATGAGCGATACATCTAAGATTTAGTATGTGTGGATATTTTTTATGTACTTTATTTTTGGCAGATTGAAGATTTGCTGCTGAGTCTGTGACAACAGCTGCAAATTTTTTAGGCCCGATTTGCTCAATAATATTCAGAATTTCTGAAGCTATGAAATTACTAGTATGTGATTCTGCTGAATAGTCACATAATAAAACAAGATACTTTTTTCGTTCTGTAGTTGTTACAATATAATTGTATAACGATTCTCCACGTTTTGAAGTCCACCCATCGAGTGCTAATAATTTTTATATGAAATGTTAATTGATGTAATACTTTTTGAAACTGCAATAAATAAATAAATTAAATTTAATAATGCATACTTAATGTTAAGTGTTCTGCACACTCCAATTCATTATCGATGCTATTTTGCACATGTGCAACTTCTTCATCTAACAATCGCCCAGATAATGTTGTACAAGATGGCAATACATATGCTGAATTAAGATTTTTGAAGAGATTCCTAATATAAGGATTCTCAATTACTTCGAATGGGATTTGCCATTACCCAAGTTTTTAAAATAAGTCTATCATAATTAATATTGACTTGCGGTAGTAAAGTTACTTGTAATTGAGAATCTCTTTTATGAGAATTATTTTCTTCTGCAAGTTTATTGACCCAATACCGTCGAATATCTTCAGGTACATTTTGACAATAAAGTGCAAGATGGGACCTTAAAACATAAGGTCTACCTCTCTGCCAGGACATTTCACAATGAAAACATTCTGCCTTGTAATGTCTAGGATTTACTTTTTCACCCTTAATTACATAGTCCCACACTTTATTGAAGGCAAGGCCACCTTTTCTAAGTTTCTTTCGTGGAAGATCACAGTTGGTTTCTGATTCTGATTGTGTAGATTCTAGTGGTGTAGAAGTACCAGAATTTGGTTCAACTAAAGACATATTGCAAACTTTCTATTTGATCTGCAACTTTTATTAATGATTTATTTTTAATTCTTGTTCGATTAATTTATTTATTTTTTATTAAAAGGATTTATTTTTAACTTTTGTACGATTTATTTATTTATTTATTTTTCATCATAAATAAACTTTTTATTTAGACTCAAAGTCAATATTACGTATATTATATCTTACATCACGTCTAATTTCAGAAACTTTAGTTATAACGAATGTCAGCCATTATGACATACATCCACTACAGCACTTTTGACGTAACTGCATAACTTTTTGACATGGCTATACGTCACCAAGTTCCTGCACCTATACTCTATTGAGATCTGCAAGTGATTCATTAGTCTGATGTATACGCTAATAAGTAGTGCACTGATTACAAAGTGCAATTACATCATTCGGCATAATTTCTAAAGCTCTATTTAAATCTGCAAGTGACTTTTCATATTGACCTAATAATTGATAATTATATCTGCGGCTACGAAGTGCCACCACATCATTTGAACCTATAATTAATAACATCAAAATCCATAAGCGAGTCTTCATACCGATCTAAATATATATATGTTATCCCATGGTTTACAAGTGCTTTTGTAGTGTTTGGATTAATTTCCAATGCTCTATTTAGATCTTTAAGAGATTTTTCATATTGACATAACTGCTGATAATTTTTTCCGCGATTACTAAGTGCAGATACATTATCTGGATTAATTTTCAATAATCTATTAAAATCTGTAAGTGACTTTTCATAGAGACCAAGCTTCATATAAATACCTTTGCAATTTCCAAGTACATATTCATTATCTGGTTCAATTTCTAATACCTTATTAAGATTCACTAGCAATTCTTTATAGAGACCTAAATGCAGATAAGCAGTTCTACGATTACCAAGTAAATACACATCATTTGGATCAGTTTTTAGCAATTTATTAAGATCCATGAGTGATTCTTTATGTCGACCTAATTTTAGATATATAAATATACTCTCTTAATAAAAGTTATTGTCAGGATTAATTTTTAAAGCCCTATTAAAATCTGCAAGCGAATTTTTATATCGACACAAATATTTATAACAACTTCCACGACTAAAATGAAAATACTTAAAATTAAAAGTTACAACAAAGATAATTGAAATAACAAAGCAGATTTATTTGTAAAAAAAATAACAACTTGTAAGAAAATAATCTATAAAAGAAGGTTAAGTATAATAAGATAAAATACTATTTAGAATAAAAAAAAAGGTTAATATATTAACAAATTTTTTTGTAAAATAATTGCAAATATCAAAATTAAAGCTAGTTAAAAAAAACAAATTAGAATATTGAAACCAATATATTACATGATATAGGGATGTAGCAACCTAGTAAAGTGAATAGGTTGTTAACCTCCAAGTGGCAGATCTAAGGTTCAATTTCTATAGATAACAATTTTGAAAATTATACTTGTGTTACAATAACTGTCTCTTGTTAATTGGTTGGGTTTTAGGTATTTGTAATCTTAGATATACCAAGTTAGATTTCATCTAACATTGGAAGCTCAGAGCATCTATGTGAAATGCAATGTTGCACATATATAGAAAAATATAAAAAACTGGTGTTATATAAGGTTTTAGCACAATCTTATAATAAGACTACTAGGTATATAACTGAGAATATATGTATCATTTAGATTAATTTCTAAAACTCTATTATAGTTTGCTATTGATTCTTTATATTGACTCAAATTTACATAAATAGCTTTACGATTACCAAGCATTAATGTATCATTCAGATTAATCTCTAATACTCTACTAAAATCCATGAGTCATTTTTCAATTTGCCTAGTAAATTATAAGTAAATCCATATCTACAAAGTGTGATTATATTATTTGGTTCAATTTCTAATGATTTATTCAAATCTGAGAGTGATTCTTTATATCGATCTAAATGTAAATAAATAAATCTATGGTTAGAAAGTATAGCTGCATTATACAGATTAATATCTAATACTTTATTAAGATCTATGAACAATTCATATTTACTTAAATGTTTATAAAGAGCATCATGCTAACTAAGTACATATTCTTTATTTAGGTTAATTTCAACAGTCCTATTCAAATCTGCAAATAATTTATTATTATTACTTAATTATCTATAATAAATTCCTTGAAAAACAAGTGCATTTATACAATTTAGATCAATTTCTAATGCATTATTAAAATCTTTAAGCAATTATTTAAGAAACCCAGATTTTAAATAAGCAGCTCTGCAGTTGCTAAGTCCTTTAGTACTATATTGATTAATTTCTAATACTCTATTACAATCTGTGATTAATTCTTTATATTTGCTTAGACTTTTATATGCAATTTTATAATTAACTAATGAAACTTTATTATTTAGTTTGAGGCTTAAAGTTCTATTAAAATCTATTATTAGGATTAATTTTCAATACTTTATTAAGATCTGCAAATGATTTTTCATATTTGTATGGATGAATATATGTAGTTCTATAAGTACCTAATGCATATATATTATTTATATTAAATTCCAATGCTTCATTAAAATCTATAAGTGATTTATCATATAACTTTAAGTGTTGATAATTATCTTATGAAAATAAAGACTAGCAATCTTAAATAGAAAGATAATATGATCTTTGACAGTACTAGTTATAAAAATCTTGATTTGGAGATAAAAACCTGGAGCAGTAATCTGTATAGATAAGAACTCTAAATAAAAAGGTCCACCAATCTGGCTATTAGTTGAACTAAACATAAAGTTACATTATGCAAAGCTAAATGGATTGTATAAAAGAACTTGCAAGAATGTACAAGTTACTAGTAAGGTTGTAAAGGAGTACTAGAATTGTTTGAACTTTACAAGAATATAGTTGTTTAAAGATTATTATAACTACAAGTGTTGGTCTTAATTATAGTGATATCAGATCAGTTAAAAATTAAATAACAGAAGGTTTCAGTAGATTTAGTACAAGATTAAAGGTTTTTTATATGAGTTAATCACTTTAAATACCTAGTAATCATGATATATTTGTATTATTAAAAATTAAAACAGTTGGTAGAATAGGTAGATAAGTGAATACAAAAATCAAACTGTTTAAATAAAGAACTTATAAGTAAGTTTTAGATATAGCAATTAGTATAAAACCTTTAGACAGACTATTTAAATTAGACAATAACTATTATATATGAGTGGTTAGTTGTACACTCTTTCTATAATTGCTTCTTGTAACTGTTGTAATATAATCACAAAACTGAAACATACTGTCAATAAAAGCCTGAGTCATAAGTACTCACTTTTAATATTAAAAAAAAATATATAATATGAAAGTTGTTAAATTTAAATGAATTCAACTAACAGTATTAAAATATAGTATAAATGCTTTAAAAATTGATTTGTATATTTTATATTTTATAACAAAAATAGGTTATGCAAGTCCTTTAAAAGTTTAAAAAAATAGACAAAATTTTTTTATTAACTGTAATTGGCTAATTAATTTGTAATATTAATTTTTAATTGACTAAAGAATTTTAAAATAGTCTAAATTTTGTATAACTGAGTACAGTCACTACTAGAAAAATAGTTTATTTAGTAATAATTAAATTCTATTGATAAAAAAGGTTTTGAATTTAGTATTTGTCAAATACACTAGCATACTTTATATAATTATTAATTAAAAACAGATTATGCAATAACAAATATGTTTATATAAATATCTATTTATTATTATTAATAGATAATTTTATTATAATTAATAGATAATTTTATTATAATTAATAATGAATTATATAGGTTATATATAAGTTGCAATGAGAAGTTGTCTTTCTTTAAAAAGTCTTTTGGCTTCTATTTTTAATTAAAAAATTCTATTTACATTTTGCAATTAATATGACTGATATTACTAATGCTACTAATATTTTGTATTCTACTAATATCTTTCAAAATATTCTTCTAATTAATTAATAATATCTGTCATATTTATAAAATATATTATATGCAATTTATCAGTTATATATGACAAATGCAATAAATACTATTAACTTCCTTTTTAATTAAAAAATCTATACTTAAATAGTATTGAGTTCTAAACAGATTCTTAGATCAGAACCAAAGCTTATTTTTTTAATTTTTCTATTTATATTATATTTATTACCTATTTTTATCTTATATAATATAAGTAGGACTTATAAAAAAAGAAACATATTTATTATAGAATTAGAAAGTTACTTAGCATAATACAATATATATATTGCAAACTAAGTAATAATTGGTTGAGTGTATAAATTATAATATAGAGAATGTATATACTTTAATAATAATATATATATATAATAATAAGAAAGTATAAGCATTATAAGATCTTAGAAAGAAAGAATAATAACCTTATTTTATATAAAAATTAAAAGTATAAATATAGGCCTTTTTATCTTTTCTAAATATTAATTATAAATTAGTTAACTATTAAAAACCTTTAATCTCTTGATATATATTTTGTATATCTTAAAAAAATTAATAAAAAAATTTTTTTACTTATAATAAGTTAATTTTTCATAATGATTATTAAAGGTAGTATATAAAAATATACCAAGTATCTTAACTAATATAAAGAAAATAAGCATTAAAGCTAAAAAAACTTTTCTTTAAGTAATTAGAATCTATATTTTTGTAAAATTAGAATTAATAATCTAAACTAATATAGAGTCTATATTTAATAAATAAACAACAAAGTATTAAAATTCTGTTTAATTAAAATAATTTCTTTTCAACTTTTTCTAAAAGCCTAATCTATAAAAACTATATAGTTATTATAATACACATAACAAAACTCTACTTTGGAGTAACTGGAATTAAAAGCTATTCATAGCATATCATTTGTAAACTGAAAAGAGCTAAAAAAGATTCAAACTCTTGTAAATAAAGTTCCCTAATATAAAACTTAGGTACTATTAAGCAAAGAAGTAGTAGATAATCTTTGGAGCTTTGTCAAGTACTATAAAGATGTAGGTCTAAATAGTTACTTAGTTTAATATAATATTCTATATAGTATAACTTTTACAACTTTTTTACAAGTTAGTTATCTTTTAAACCTTTACTATTAGGTTTTTCTTTTAAAATTTTTATTAAAAAGTAAGAAATCTGATATATTCCTTTCAAAGGATTAATACAGTTTATCTTTCCAAATCAGTAACAATAATTATGAGGAAGTTACAACACTATATACATGACCTATGATGAATAACATATATCAATCTTAAGAGAAAAACAAAAACTTTGACCTTTCTCCTTACACAATAAATGAATTATATTATAATACAGAAATAAAGCAAATGTAAAGTACTTTTTATTTAGTATTATATATAATTTTTGACTTTCTTTTTTTTTGTCTTTTTTTTCTTATTTTCTCTTTCTTTTTAGCATATGTTTAGATTTTATAGTTAGTTTCTTCTTTTTTTACTTTTTTTTTTAGTTTTTCTTTTGTATATCTTGTTGTTCTTTAAGCAAGAATTATAGAATCCTCTTGTTTGATAATTAGAAGAAGTGTTTAAAGATTTAGCAGCCATAATAAGCCTGTAGAAGCATTCAGTAATATACCTTAAAGGTTTTATTAATTTGAAATAATAGGTATTAAGATAATATCTACTATAGCAGGTCACATATAGATGCTTTAAAAAGCAACTGGATGAGTCAATATTTAAAAGTAGAATAATAAGAATATGCCTTTAGAAGACTTTGTTGTAGTTTTTAAAAGTTATCTAAATAAAATATTGGCATAGTTACTAAAAGTTAAAAAAAATTTCTGTTTAATAATTAATATTAATTAATTATATTTGAAAGTAAATATTAATTAGGTCATAGTAGTTATTATTAGAGTTCTACAATTTAATTTAATTTGATCAAATATTTAAGTTCAAATCAAATTCAAATATAAAATTTTTAAATCAAA